TACATCAGATAAGATAAACGTAGGTATTTGTTGCTACAGTTTCCCCTGATCCCAGCATTCTGCATTTATTTAAAAGGGCCAGATGTTGAATTAAGGATGGAACAGCAAACATTGAGATTTGCTTTTAAATCCACACTGTAGAAGTAGGTTAAGAGGTTTACAGGGAATTTTGGTTTTATCCTTTCCTACAGAAGATAAAGGAAGCTAGAAACTTTTGCTTAATATGACGTTCCTCCTATGCATATGCATATACATACTTATTAAATTTGTTGTAACTTCGGAGGAAAAGCCTTAGATTCCTAAATTGTTTTTCCATAATCTTAGTACTCTTGAAACGTTGAAACTGATCTACAGTGAATATTCGGAATAGTTTCTCACATGTGCATACGTGGGCTCCACGAACCTTGTGAACTATGCCATGCACTGATAGGGTTCAGCTCTGGGGCTTTGCTTTCAGCTTCCTGTCCTGCAGAGATTCAGGCTATGCTGAAATACGGAACTGTTTTGTCGAACGCTTCCTTAGCTGTTTACCACCCACAGGCATATTGCTGTCAACATCAAGCTCCTCCTTTCTGATCTTCTGCTAGTACTGGGCTGAATTGATGATAATGTGCCCTCTCTTGAATCCCCTGGAGTATAAACAATGCAGTTTTTGATAAGCTATCTTGCCTATGAGGTGAAGTTACAGTCAGGAAACCGACTATCTATGTGCATGTGCAGGTGCCAGGCAGCTGCGTCTAGGAGGTCTCTCCCTGCACACAAGGTGAAACCTCAGCCTGGACAGGGGAAGGTGCTTGATTCTGAATGTGAAAGATTCTCAAGCCAGTCGCCAGAGTATAGGTAAGGAAGATGTTCCTTAGGGCGAGAGTAGAAATGAATGGCAGAGGCCTTGCAGGCAGCTGAGAGCAGGAAAATGCAGAGGTGCAGAGGGAAAGATTGCTAAACATTTTCTTGGTATCAGGCAGATTCCTTTGCCATGTCTTTAAGCCAGGGTCACTTGGCATCCCGTGTCCACTAGGATCTGCACTGTGCGGACACTAGCCCCTGCCATCCAGGGATTTGGGGAGCTGTGGAGCATGGGCTGGAGTGAGAATATATTCTGAGAACTTCCCAAAGAAGGGAGATTTTCAAGTAAGCTCCTGCAGCTGCAGTTCTATCCAGGTCACGCCGATGAAGGGAAGTTGCAGGCCCAAATCTGAGCTTTCAACGCCTCCCTACTTATCGGGGTGAAAAGGAGACTTGGAAATAGAGTGAAATAGCAAAAAGCCAAAACAGAGTAAGTTGAGCACTGAGAAAGCTTTATTTAAAGATATGCACTTAAAGAGAGAAAAGTGTGGGCATCTTCAGAGACAAGGCATGCTAATAGGCTGGGGGTTCCCTCTTTTAAATGTTTTTCAAAGGCCAGGGTGTATAGACTTGTAAGATCATCTCAAAATGCTTATCTCTGATGAGAGACATTAGGCCTCTTCTCTTCTGTTGTCAGTCCTCCAGGTAATTCTGCAAGATTAATTTAACACAAGACATTGGTCAGTTCCTCTCCAGCATAGCAGCTTTCCTCTGGGAACTTACCGATCAAGACCACCCAACGTGCCCTCAAAGTGGATTGAGTTATTGCCTGTTTGCTAAAGAATATGTTCGGAGTGTTACTTCCTAATTTCCTGGTTTTTAAAATGGAATCTGAGCATTAAGATAGAATCCTTCCTGTTCTTACTATCAGCATTTTTTCATCATAGGCAGGAAAAGTTAACTCTAATGCTTGTCCCAGATCCCTGTCCTACATCATTTTGAAGTTTGCTAATTAACTACAGACCATAAATACTTATACTTTATTTGAATGAACTCAATAAACCAGTCCAGGCAAGTCTGAATATTTGCAGCGATAGCTAATGCAAATAAACAGACTAAATGCTTATCCTGTGCACACTCAGAAGCATTCTGGCATCTAAGATTAAAAGACAAACTAAAAAAAGAAAAAAAAAAGGCATCGTTATGTTATGCTTAAGTGAGTTTGTATATGTAAAGAACATAGTATATATATTTATGTAGGAGTAGAGTTACTGTTTCTTGGTTTTGGAACACTTTATGGCCTTCCATCATTAAAAAGATATGGGCTCGGGGCAGAGTAGGGAAATGATTATAATGACTATTGCACTATGCAGTGATTTTTTTTAAAAGTTAATTCCTGGCATCTACTGCCCTCATTTTACTCATTTAATAATATTTAATAATATTTCCCTGATCTGATCCCTCTACCAGTCTTGTCCTACCTGGGGGAAGATAGGTAAGAAACGGATGGAACATGGTTTCTCTTCCAGTAAATTCCTATAGAATTAGGAACCCATTCTGTCATTTGTAACAGAACTTGCATTTATACCTGAATAAAATAGGCCCAGATCTGAAGGTAAAGAGTGGGCAAAAGGGTTAGAGATGCGGGTGTTTGCTGTGTGCATGTGTGTGGGCGTGCAGCAGGAGTGAAGGGCATTTTCAAGTACAAGGGAAGCACCTACATTTTTCTCATTTTCATGGGGAGATGCTGCCTAAAGCATGTTTTCTCCTGTCCACACAAGACATCTTGATTCTTTGGAAAGGTGAGCAGAAATGAAATCTTCCATCAGTAAACTCAGAAACGGCTCCACCAAAATAAGTTTGTTGTGAATTCAGTTACAGTGACATTCTAGAAATTGACACTAGTCACCACTTTTTATCCACTCTATCCTTTCACTGTGTATTTCTGCTTTGCTGCTTCCATCCGTCACTGACAGTTTCATGCCTTATTTTAGGGAAAAGCTCCTTAGGTTCGTCTAGTATGGCTTCTATGAAATAAAATGTTCTGTCTAGGAAAATTTAATAGGCTTAAAAAGTAAGGGCATGTTTTGTAATATTGTTTCATTAAGAGTAAGTATGTGTTTTATAGTTAATTTTTCTCAGCTTCCAAGTGGGCTTTTCATCTCAGATATTAAGAAGTGGGACTGGAAAGAAGGGAATTAATGATAGGGATAAAGAAAACAAAATCTAGTATGAAAACACGCAAGGCAAATGTGATTTCTTTCCTGAGCAATGTAAATAAAAATTTACCAGATTCAGACCCTGATAGGAAAAATAGCCCAAGATAGTTTCTTGTTGGCTTATACTTTGATCACAGGTATATCTTGCTGATTTATAATTCAATAGTCAGCTATTTAAAGGGAAAATACTTCAAGTGCTTTGGGAAGCTAAAAATGAGCCCCTAAAAGTTTGTGTAAATCTGCATTTGTGTATCTTCTACTTAAAACGTTCTCAAATTCAAAACCAAAATATTTATAACTATCATGTGCACCTAGTATTATATTTTCTTTGCAAGTTATAAAATGAAGAATAACAATTTTTCTTTTAAAATGTTTCAGCTGAAACACAAAGGTGCAAACTACTGACACACACAACTTGCATACATCTTAAGGGGGTTATGGTTGCGTGAAAAATCCATTGGAAAGGGTATATACTGAATGATTCCATTTTTCTAACATTCCAGAGGACAAAAAATTATGGAGTTGGAGACTAGATCAGGGTTGGGGAAGGGGAAGTTCTGGCTGCAAAGGGCAGCCTGAGAGGTTCTTTGTGGTGATGGAGCAGTTTGTCTCGATCGTGGTGGGCATGATATGAATCTCGGGATTTGATAAAATGTCATAGAATTATATATAAAAAGATCATCAAGAATAATGAATGAGTTCAAAATCTGGTAAAATACAAGTAAGGCCCAAATTCTAGTCAGTCTATGTATCATGTCAATGTCAACTTTATGATTGTGATGACATATTAGTTATGGAGATATCACCTTTGGTGAAGAAGCCTAGGGGATGCTTATACAGGACCTCAGCTTACTGGTATTACAACTTTTATGAGTCTATAATTATTTCAAAATAAAAAGTCAGAAACAAATGCCTCTGCTGAAGAAAGAAGTCCAGCTACTAATTAAACAACTGATGAAATAGTTCAGTCAAAGACAGGTATCCTTATAGGAGGCAGGACTTGTAGACAAACACTGAAGTCTCTTGACTAAGCATACGCATTAAGGAGAGTATCCAGTTCTTCAAGTCTTGAGCTGTGTAATTTAAAGCTGTTACTGTTTCTGTAACTTCTATTCAGCTTGTAGAATCAGAAAATTTTCAAGTGAGCAGGGATCTTAACTGAGGACATAGGTCAAACTTTGAAGTTATGCCCCTGGGTTTTGGTATCCTCCTTTGTAATATGAGGGTTTTGTCGCACATCCTTTGTAATGTCCTGTCTAGTCCTAAATTTCATAATCCCAAGCTTTACAATATAAACTATAGAAACTTTGATCTTCAGTTTTATAAACTTTGCCTCAATATTTATTGCGTGACACAAATACCTTCATTTGTAGATTGTATATGTGCACGCAGAAACTGCCTACTTTTTATTATCTGTCTCACATATTAAAAATACTTTGAAGAGTAAATTACCTGGGCTAATTTTTACTACTTAGCTAAGGTTGATCATTTTCTAGGACAGAGGGTCTGGGAAGTTTTCTTGAGATGACATGCCATTATATATTCCTTGTAAAAAAAAAGATACCTTTTATCCATTTGAGTATTACGTAGAAAGGGGAGTTTTATGTAGGTCAGTGTTTCCCAATATGGGTCCACTGACTGCCCACCAGACCTACTAAATCAATTCTAGGGAGATTCTGGCCAAACACCAAAATTCAGGAAGCTTTAGAAAACAGCTGTTATTATTTGGAGATAAAATAAAGATAATGCTCTCTCAATGACCAATATAGATTAAGCTTACTCATCTTATTGCACTTTCTTCATAGAATGAAAACCTGATGACCTTGAGGAAACTGAGCCCCTTGTAGAAGCAGACACAGGCTGTGCCTGACCTGGTGGCATCATGCATATGTAAAAGAATCTTACCAGTAGTTAACATTTTACACTCTGGGATTGATTTCCCTTAAGTCTATAACAAGTCATAGTCTTACAAAAACAAAACTAGCAACTCACAGCATCAGTGTAATCGTTTTATTAACAAAAGGAACCCATGGGGTTCAAACAGGAGTACAAAATACAATCTTTATTTTTTCCTGTGGGTTAAATCATTACATTTTTAATAGTAAAAATAAAAAAGCTTTTATAGTTAACTTATCAAAAACATAACCCCTGCCTATTAAGTTTCTTATTGTGCAAAACAAAAACATAAAAAGTAAAGTTCCATTCATGGAAGGATTTTGTGTGCCACAAAGTGCACATTTTCAATTTCAAATTTTTTGGCATCAAAAAGAAAATTCTAAGGCCACAGTTTTCTTTGCAAACTAACAGGAGGGTAATAAACAAGCAAAGAGCAGCTAAATTTTCATCTTCCTTCCCAAGTAGTCTCAGTATCCATGTAGAATTTTCTACATTCATAAAATAATTTCTCGATTATAAAAAGTTATGCAGTTTTAACCTACTGCATAAGGTCACATACACCAATATCACCAAGGCAAATCATATTTTAAGCGCTAAAAACTCAGCTTTGCTTTAATTTCATGGGCCTACTTCATGATTTCTCTACAAAGGTCATAAACCAAAGCTAGCAAAGGATTCCATTTCGTTGCTTTTCTACATGGAGACATTTAAGCTTTCTCTTTCTCCATATCGCTTTTTGTTTCTTTCACTTTATTTTGGCATCATGGAGATGGACCTTGTGTCTCGACAAGGCATGTAAACTCAAACTTAGAAGTCAAGAAATAGTTGAAGATGACCTTTGTTCAAGTAAAAATAAAACTGTTTAGACAGCACTTAAGTACACATACCTGTTTAAAAACACACAAAAACAAAGCCAAATTAAAAAAACAGGAATCAGGTTGTGTGACAATTGCAGTACCACAATTATTGGTTTAATGGTTTTGTATGGTGATTTTAAACAGTGGCTTACAACGAAAAACAGCTTAAAATGCTTACGAGATTACAGAGAAGAGAGGTTAGGTCCCAAAGGGTGGAAAATGTACCTTTACTTAATATGTTTGTAGAAAAATCCCTGATCAAATGGCCAATTTTTAAATACACAACTTAACCTTAGAAGAACTTTTCTATTTCTAACTGAATATACTAATGGGAAGAAAAAATAATCGTGCTGTTGAATGAAATACAGTATTCTGCACTGGAAGCACCAGGGTTTCTAGATCAAACCCTTAGGACACGGAGGACCCCAAAGTGTTCAGCTGGTCCAAAATCTTTGTTTTGAGACTCCCTACCTCCCTTCTACTTAGTGTCCAGAAATGCTCTCAGCTCTTGAAACCAATAGATTAATGGTAAAGCAAGTGAACATGTGACCATGAATAGGTGGGGAGAGGGGACAGTGAAAAACACTGCTCAGACTTTGAGCAGCAACACAATCCTGTTGGTCTCAATATCCTGAGGTTAAATGATAAATATTGCACCAAAACAAAGACAATCACAGTTTAAAGAGAATGACTTAGGAATCGGAATAAAATGTAGAACACAGTGACTGCCATTATTAGACTTATGTCTCTTGGCAGGAATTAAGTTTATGTCTTTTTTAAGATGGTATTTCTACCCTCTTCAGAATTTGCATTTATTTTGAAATACCCTTTGGTATATTTATATTAACTTTCATCTAATGCTAACCTTATAGGCTTTTCCCTTGGTCCAGTTTCAGATTTAGTGATGGGTGAAAGGAGAGGCTTCTGAAAATTAGTAGACACTCCAAAGAAATGTACCAGACCCAGAGTCTTAAAACCTATGTGATAACCCCACTCGAGGTAGGTTAAGAAAAGCCTTTTTGTCTGTTTTTCTGTAGATCAGGTTACCAAGGCATCCTAAGGATCGTAATTCTTCTTTTTCTAATAAGATCGTAAGTAAATAAGACATGAGGAAAATCAAATGTGTCCTGCTAAAGTATTTAAGGGGGGTAAAAAGTACGGCCTTTCAACAAAATGTGTTTTTCATACTGAAATTCACCTTCCCCCTTTGAACTGACAAGCCTTGCAAGAACTTTTTTTTAGTTTCATAATACTGTATGGCCAATTGATAAACATTTTAAACTATCAGAGAATGAAAACTACTTCTTGATTAGGACCAGGTAAGACTGTGAAGCCCCTGACACTCAGGGTTTCTTTGCTTTCAGAGGGGGCCATGGTCCTGTCCTGCACACCCTTGGGTTGCTACATTCTCCAAAGTCAAGTTTCCTCCCAGTGAGTCCATATCACCTTAAAGCTTATGATACTTTTGTTCCACTTGAGAAATCTCTTTAAAGGTTTACTTGCAGAGTGTTTCCACTGTTTCCACAGAGTCCTTCCTCTTGAGTCAGCGCAGCACCCCTTCACTTCCTCGGACCATCAGGACTCACATTCTGTGACTTTTCACATCTTCATCCTATCATTTCAAGGGGACACTTGACCGTATCATAAACTTGGGCTACCATCTTGTTGGCCCACTAGCAAGTTCACATTATTTAGTTTCTATCAGCTTCAGTCTTGATGTCTGTTTATGTTCTTAAGTGAATCTTCCCTTCCTCTTCCCCAAAAAGGCAGGGGGAAAGAACCAATTCTTATTAGACGATGCACACAGTGATTTGTGAATTATGTTCACAGAATGAAGGAAAGAGGCTGGGTTTCTTGTACAACACTAGGATGTGGATCGACCTGCAAAATAGAGCAGACCAAGACTACTATGGTAGCATTCTTTAAAATGATTCTAGTGTCTATTTCTAATTATATGATGGTTATAAGCTAAATTGCTTACAGCCTATTATTAGTAAATCCCAGTAGGCGGCTTAAGTTCTCTGTATTCCATGACCACGTAAAACACCTTAAAAGGCAATCCATAGTGTTCTACATGCATGCTGTACATCACAGGAAAATACTAAAAAACATGGCAAATGGATTAGTGATAATCTATCATCAGCATCATAAAAAAATTTTTATATGTATCCCCTACTATTTAGGAATCAGTAATAGACATGGCACAATAAAAATCTAATTTCTTTTTGTTTTGCTTACCTCTGAATAAAGAGGTGGAGGCCAAAACCGGAATTCCTGTATGCAGGCACACATATGACAGCATGCTTCGCCCTCACAGTTAGTGGGTCGAGGGTAAGGAAGAACACGTCCAGGGAATTCCTCCTCTGATATCACGTCTGCATAATTTGGCGGCGCTGAAACAAAAATGAAGTTGGAGCTAAGAAATCCATGTAAAGACTAATCACATTCATCTCTTCTGAACTCTTCCCAAAACAATAAATGTAGCTAAATTTGAAGATAAAACAATGGCATTTTTCTCTCTAATCAGCAAATTTTTGTGCCTATTACAAAAAAAAATATATTTCATAGATTCTGCTTTTATGAAACTACTACTAACATTGATTATACTCCACTCTTTTGCAGTGTTGTGTGTGTTATAGTCAAGGTAAAAAAAATATTTTTGAAAGGTGGCTGTAGAGAATATATAACGCTCTATATTTTCATTCTATTTTTAACTGTTTTACTATTACTACTAGGAATCAGGAGATGTAGGGTTTTCTTCCCAAATCTGCCACCAGCAGCGTTGTGTCCTGGATGAAGTAAACTCTTGAAGTCCCTTCCAGGAGTAATGTTGTGTGATTTTTAGTACTAAGGAGAGTAAAGCATAGTTGTGGAAGTGATTACTATTTGAGCACTTACTATCTTTTTACCTGTTCTTAAGCACTCTATGTATGAAACTTTATTCTGCAAGAGCCTCAAAGCGTTTTACCTTCAGGCTGTTCTGGCAGAGTCAGCGTCAGCCAGCTCATATCCATACTGAACTGGCTGGTGAGGCTAGAGTTTCTGCTGCCAAAGCCATTATACGGGATTGTACCGATCACTAAGGGCAGCTCGATCATCAACTTTTTAGCACCAGGAATGTGAATATACACCTAATATGCCAAAGGGAAAAAAAAAGAGAGAGAAAGGCATGGATATAAGTAAAACCTCAGCGTAGATAGCCCGATTAATTTACTGTTTCATAAAAACAATGGTCTTTGTTGCCTGCCACCCCCTTTCCCTATAAGACTGCATATTGTCCTGACCAAATAAAATGAAGAACAACTAAATGCAGAGCACACAGAACGCAGGGAGAGCTCTGTGATGGGCCACCGTGGCCTTAACATACTTCATACGGTAACTACAGAAAACTTAGTATATGTCTTCAGTATAACAAGCACCTCTTAATGTTCCTTAATTCTTTCATGCTACTTAATTAAATCCCTTAGGGGGATAGTTTTTGATTAAGAACAATGGCCAATCTTGATATATTCCTCAATTTGTTGTAAAGCTGACATAGGACACCATTTTCCTTGGTATTAAATGTACATATTTTCACAGGAACATGGTATCAGTTGTTGCTCCATACTTTTAATCTGAAGAGGAGCTCTGCTTACAGCTAAGGAATAGTCGACCCTGATAATGCAGCAGTCCAGGATGGACGGAGTAACAGGCGGGATTTTCAGAGTCTTCCCATTCCACGTGTCGGTGTTCCCGGAAGCGATGTGGTTTCCGCGCACGTTGGCAACCATGTGCCTGACAGTCTTTGTTTTCCCATTAGCCAAATACGTTTGGGTTTGGAAAATAGCAGCTTTGGGAACAATCAGACGGGAAGAACAATTCTCTATTTCTGCATAGATTGGGATAGCTTCTCCTAAAAAAAACCAAAAACAAAAACACCTTCAGAGACTTTAGAAAGTTCTCATCACCATGGCAGAAGAGACTCATGATATTATCAATTAAAGCTGAAATGTTGCCACATTACTTCAACAAATTGCAAACTCTGATGGAAAAATATTGTAAATCTGGGCCATAGAAGTGAAAATACAGGTTTTGGTAGCTATTGTCTTCTAATTATTTTATTATTCACTTTTCTAATATAGCAATGTTAGGTTCTTCATTCTAAAGATATGTAAATGACCAGTATCTATAAAAATGAAGGTAAGATACACAAATAAATGATTCAGTGCTATGTTAAGTACAAAATATCACTAAGAAACTTATTAGTGCCCATTAAATTAAAATAGGCCCATAGCAGAACAAAGTCTTTGCTTTTAAGGAACTGATTGTTAAGGTAAAAATAAAACGACAGATGGGGTAGGCAAGATTTACATCTGCATTATACATCCGCCATCAGATCATTCCTTACCATATTCCTTTCCCACAAGCCATAACCCTGGAGCAGGGGCCAAATCCACTGTATGGAACTGGGTCCTTCACAAATGATTGTTCTAATGTCAAACTCACGGCTAAGATTGTTAGTGCCCTACATTCTAACCCCATATATTTGTCTTCCCAGCAAAGAATCAGAGTGCCTAACAGTATTTTCAAACTATAATGGCTCTTTTCTGAGCAACACTGTTCGGGACATTGTTTTGCAACATTAAAATAAAATGCTGGCATTTTCCCAGTCTTCTAGTTTTAGTCTTCTTTACTGAAGTAACAGGATTGAAGTCAGAAACACCAGTTCTACTGGAATCTACTCAAGCATTTAAAAACATTTAATTAAGTTATTTTACTAAAAACATGATTTTACTGTGTTTCAAAATAAATATATTTCATAAATTAAAGACACACTATTTAAAATCTCTTAAAATTAACTAACAAATAAATAAATGTCCCATTTGGACTTTCAAACATTTTGCTTACCATTACAGTATCCCTTTCTTTCAATTTTCGCACTCAGTGAGACTGGACCGGATGTGAAAAACCAACAGCCGACCATTTTCTCTTGAGTTTTCAGTACAGGGGTCTGAAAAATTTCAAACAATAAAATGCCTTTAATTAAACCAGTCTAGAAAATTCATAGAACTCAAAGTTATGTGATTCTTCGTTAAACAGTTGTAAAGCAATGTCTTCCAAAAAAACACATCAACCTTTCTTATCCTCATGTGACACAAGGCAAAATACTTACTAAGAGACAAACATTAAAAAAAATCATTCCCTTTTTAGGAAAACTAAGGTGAATTTTCAGATTCAAATTAGGATAATACCATCCTGTTTTACCCTATATAGTCTAGTCACCCTATTTCTGGGAAATGATATACCATTCTTTAAAAGAGAAATCAAAAAGTGTAATGGTAATCTTTTTTTTTTAAAGACTTTATGTATAGATCAGGTAAAAGGAGAAATGGTATAAAAATCAATAATCAAAATGTTCTATTTGTCTTGCCATTTAAAATGTGGTACAAATAGCCTTTTCTCCTTACTTCAAAACATACTATTAGGCAGAAATTTCAAGTGTCCTCAATTCAGAATGAGTTTTGGGTTTTGTGTAATGCAAGACAATAACACACCCCATGTAAAGGGTCCAAAAGGTTACTGAAAGCACCAGGCCACTGTCTATTTTACACTATCAAGAGCAAGGACACATGATTTAATGCTCTGTTCCCAAGATACACAAATCGAAAGCTCATTGTAGAACACAAAGTTGAAATATGTTTTTCTTTATTTGCAGAAAGAATAGTAAAGGATAAATAGCATCTCTCTTTGACAGAACAACCTCTTTAAAATCATTTGTCCCAATGACTCCATAAACAGTTGAAAAATAGCCTCCCAGTTCTAAATAGTTTTTAAACATGCAAGACAGCATTGGTAATTTTCAAAATTGGTGTTGAGTGGGTGGTAAGTCTTAGCTGCAGCAGGTCGGCTGGGTGCTAGCTATTTTATGATTTTGGCCACAAGGAACCATGCAACCTGGGCATATTTGTTATATTTCCCCAACCTAAAGATAAACATAGTAAATATTATTTCATTTTCAAGTGAATATAAGAGTTAAACAACTTTTAACTCCTGTTTTTTTTTTTTTTGTTGTTGTTGTTCCTTCTCTTTAAAAACACTGGCTAGAAAAGAGAAACCTCCAAAACTAAAAATATATCTTTGTAACATATCATCAGTATCCTGACGGGAAGTTCAAATTATCCCAGTATTTCCTATGAAGTAAAAAAAAAAAAAAAAATCATTCATTCATATTTAAATGAAGAACCATTAGGTCCTAGTAGCTATCATGAAAGTATAAGGTATAATTTTATATTATTCTGATAATGTGGGTTTAGATAAAAGAATCTAGCTCATTAGCTCCCATCTTGCCTATTCTGTTGTTACTTATAGCCTAATCTTTCTTATCAGGCTACAGTAGTTCTGGTGATTATTAGAAGTTCAATGCTTTAATGTGGCCAAATCTGTCATAAGGAAGTGATAGTGAAAGGCTGTGCCCAGCAGCTGCATGCACTGACTTAATGCTGGAAAATGACATGCAAAGTGGAAGGAGACACACAGCATAATGGCCTGAGCTTCAATAACAGGCTGAGCATGATTAATACTCTTCCATAATTACTGTTCCTCAACCTGCTATTATTGAAGAGTTTAGAATCCCACAGCCTTGTGAATGTGGCTGCTTTGGTAAAAGTAACTATTCTCTGTGTGTGCATTATTATTATTAAGCCTTATTAAGGCATTTCAAGCCTGTGTAACTTTTTGGCAAAAGAAGCCCTGAACAACAGCAACATAATCAATTGTATTAATGCACATGATTTGTAATTTGCCCAACTGAGAATCACATTTTGATAGTGAATGCCTATGGGGTACAAGATTATATCAGAGAGCGACAGGATGGACCACTACTCCACTGGCTGAATGCAGACATCCCTCCTGAAAGGCAGGGGGTACTTACTAATAATGCTGGTGTGTTGACATCGATGTGACTAATAACCTGGAGTTCCCGCTTTACACTCTGAGCAGGTGCCTTGGGTCGTTCCAAAACAGCGCTCACACAGTACTGAATACTTCCGTATTTCCCGGTGAACGAGGTCACCAAAGGTCTGAAATAAATCCAGAAGGTTAGTTTATAAGTTCATTTTTCAGTCAAACAAAACTGGGGAAAACCATTAAAATGTTAGTTTTGGTTAAAAAAATAGTGAGAGCAGTGTAAGTCTATTCGGACTTACTGAGGACCTACACGCATAACTATCTTAAGAAGCATAATTGAGACACTTGGTACCCATACATTTGGATGGACATGTTGCCAGGGAGAGAGGTTATCACAAATGTTAGAGTTTCACTTACTCAGATGGAAGTTGAAAGCTAAATGGAAATTCATGTTTTCCAGATTGTAATAAGAGGATGCCTTCACCTAAAAGAGAGAATACATTTTATTTTAGCTAAGGTTAGTAGTAGATCAAAAGTTTTCACAGCCTAACCCACAATTTCTTAAAAAGGTTTCCCTGGCTATAACATCCAGTATACTTCAAAAGGTACATTAAACTGAGATTTAAATAAAATTTGAATCAGTTTTTAGCAAGTTGAATCAATTTCAAACCACATACACACATATAGCTTCTATCTTCAAACAGACCAATTACACAATAACCAGAAAGTGTCAGAGCCTAGAGCTCCCAAATGTGTATTTGTATACACACACACACACACGTTTCACGTTTATCCCACTTATACTAGCACGAGTATATTGTTATACTATTCTAACATATACTAATATTATATAACATGAGATATCAAATAGGACCTAAAATTAATTCAGCAAAAAGTGGATCTATTCCGTATGCCACAAAAATCAGACTATGTATTCTTTGGTCTGAGATCGAAAAGAAGGTGAAAATTTATTGTAAATACTGTGAATACAGACTGTAATAATAAACAACTAGACCAACAGAATAAGTTACTAAGCCCAAGTCATGTATTTACATTCAAGCTCTACTGATTAATAGGCTGCGAGGTGGTTAACTTGGGAAACAGAGTGGGCTTTGCCAAGTCACGGCCCCTCCTGCTCTGGGTGTAGGTCTGCCAGCAACGTTTTATTTCACACACAGGTTCATTCAGGTGGTGAGAAGGCCAAGCTGCAGGGTGTGGATGGACAGCACAAGACCAGAGGCACTGCTGGAGCACGGATGAGGAGCTCACAGTCTATCTGTGGCATTTAGATCTGGAGCCCCTCCAGGGCTGTCAGTGATGGTCTGGTGGCTCCCCAGAGATATTTAGAAACTTTCACTTTATGTTCATAGATTCAAATTTAAAACTAAATTCCCTTATCATGGGTGGGAGGGAATTTCAATGAAGATGAAGAAAAGTGCAGCACAGATGAGAATGTTCTCCAAGACTTGCCTGTCAGTTGATACTAAAATGGAGATTTCTACGATACACATTCATTTAAAAAAAATTTAAAGGGCAGCAGTTACTAGAGAAATGGAATTTTTTCACTTAATTACTAGCATTCTAAGACCTTAAACAATTCAGTTAACATTTCAACCTTGTACTTCTAGAAAACAGGAATGCATAATTGGCCCAGTAAGTTTTCTGAATCTATCCCTGATTTTCAGCATGCAATACATATGAAGAAAAAAAATTAACTATTTGCCACCTGAAGGTCATTCAAATAGAAATACTCCACAGGTAGGTGACTTGGAGGCAAAGCGAACAGCTTGCAGGGATGTGAGACCACGCTGAGTGCCCATGAGGTACCTTCACCCCGGGGCTCAGGTGTACCTTCTAAGTCTCAGCAGTGCCACAGCCCTGGAGACCAGAGAAGCCTCTACGCTTTCTAACTATCAAATAAAAGGCTCAAGGCAATCCCAGTGCTCCTGAGAGAGCTGGGCTGAAGTTAGATTACTGCATATGACAATCACAGTATTTTAATGTTAAAAAACGTAGATTTCATTTGAGTTCAAAACATAGTGCTTAGGTGTCAGGCACTTTAGGTGCAAAGGCAAGTAACTTCAATCCTCAAAAAGACTGTGGGAGGAAATCTGGATACCTGTACATAGGTAATGACCAGAGGGCTGGGGACTGTGTATGTGCATGTGTGTGGGGGGGACCTGGCACCTAGAGGATGCCTGTCCTGGACACGAGGGCTGGCAATGGGGACAAGTGGGAAGGAGTTCAGCTGAAGGGAACAGCTGAGGCCCGGCATGACAGGTATGTGTGGAGAGCAGAGTTGCCCAGCATTTTCAAAGAGTATCAATGGGAATGAAGTCCATTCTTCATAGAGAAAACCAATCAACAGAGCAACTGTGACATGTAAAATGAAGACTTTGAACCACCTCAGGATATAAACAAGAAAAAAAGTGGGAAGTTGATAAACATGGGTTATAATATTTGGAATCAAATCTCTGTTTTCTTTCTTTCTCATTTATTTTTAATTAGAAAGGCTCCCAAACTGGATGAAGTGTCCGGTTCTGCTTTCTGCTCTCATGGCTCACTGCTTCCGCCTTATGCACTAAGGACCACAACATCATAGGGGGAGGTTTCATTCACTGAAGGTCTTATCGCCCAAGCGCATCATTCACGGAACTCCTGGGCCACGGGAGCTAGAAGATCACTACAGAGGCAGACATTGGGGCTCTGGAAGGATGAGGGACTCGTACAAGGTCAGACTGCGGGTGGGTTTCCAAGAGGTGAAACCAACTCTCTGGTCTGTCTCATCTTTCTACCACAATCCCTCAGTAAAAGTATGAAACCCCCCCGCCACAATGATAGCCAAGTAGCTGGATTAGGTTGAAGAAAAATCTTGGGAGATTTTTTTTTTCAAAATAGATCCTATAGCCACACATCTAATATCTGTTCAGGTAATTGAAACTCAGCTAGATTTTGTAATTAAATCATTCTGAGAATCTACCACTATGTAAAGTGGTTAATTTATTCCAAGTTACAGAGATTAAGATCTGACTCTTGAATCCAACACCATTTGTTAGCCTAGATTTTGCCAAAGCAATTTTTATTGCTAATCCCAGATTCAATGCTATTAATCTGACATCTATTTACTCACTAGTTAAGGTCACAGAGATACTGAGAGTCCAAAGTCCTGGACAAAAACAATTTCTTTTCTATGACCTTTGACTCCAGTCAGCAGTCTTGAAAATCTGTGTTGTCTGTTACTATTGTAGGAGGCATGTGTGGGCTGATCCTGGAAACAGGGATGAAGGGCAGAGGCAGGTAATAACTGTCATCTAACACACCGAATTTGTTGAAAAGCGTTTTGGTTCCAGATGTTTTTCCTCACTACAGTTTTGGGGGTCATTCAATTCTTCTCTTATACCTTGAGAATTAAAACTGTGGCCAGTCTACTGTGGAGGATTGAGGCAAAACTGCACTTACTATTGATTTTGTGTAAGACACAACAAGGGTTAAACATTGATATACTGCATTCTACTCTTCAGACGGTGACAGTCTAATACCATTATCTCATTTTACCGATAAAAGCTGAAGTTGATGAGGTAGAAGAGTATAAAATAATTTACCTTTCAACTAAACTAGGAGTAAGAATGTTCCTAGTATATTCATGATTAAAGAAATTAATTTAAGCAACTAATATTGACACAACACCCATGTAGTGGATTCCCCGATGGGCACTTCTGGAAAGCCTACACTATTAACTGGGCTTCTAGGAAGGCAATAAGGATAATTTTGCCTCCAGAACTTTTACAGTGCCCAGAATCCCATTGTCTGTAAAGGCCTATTGATTGGGAGGAGGCTGGGTGGGTTGGGGGACTGGCAATGCAAAGGCAACAAAAATGATATAAAGAATAAAGACAAAGAATATAAAGTTAGGCAAAATTCCTAGTTACCCAGCTCCTCAGAAGAGAGAAACCAATGATGATGGTCAAGATACACTTCTTTTTAAATTCCTAACCCCTCAGGAACTACTTGCCACTTGCTGAGGCAGGTTTTGCTAATTCATCCTGAACCAAGAACGGGTGTCTAGGTCAAGGATGGGAAGAAAGTAGGCCCCAAAAAAACACTGGGCACCACAGTATGGAACCTCAGAGACTCTGCTTCTGCCCTCCATTCCTCATGCCAGAAAGGACAGGACCTGCATCTCCAGATCCTGCTTTCCTGACTGCTCATCACCGGTTCCCATGGCAACGACTCACTGCCTGAGCTAGCCTGGAAGGCCCGGGGATGCTGGTGGTGGTCGTGCCCAAGGGAGCCAGGGGCCGGCGCCAGGTAGAGGTGTGCACCCACCGCACAGTATCTCCCCAGGGAAGTGAGGTGCAGGCTGCAGGAATTGTTACCCGCCCGTCACCAGCCACCAAACTGATGCAGGGGCCACCCCGTGGGCGGACCCCTCCCCGGAGTCCCGCCCCGCCCCCCTCGCTGGTGGGCATCCCCCGTGCTCCCTCCCCCGACGCCCACCCCTGGGTCTCCGCGGTCCGGCGGGGCCTCCGGAGCCGTCGCCCGCGCTCACCGGGCGGGGGTTCGCGGAGGCTCAGGCGCACGTTCAGGTACTCCACCTCTGCGCGGGTAGCCGGCGCGGCGGCCCCAGCGCCCGGGCCCCAGGCGGCGGTGGCACGGCCGTGGGCTTCCAGGCGCAGCGCGCACAGGGCAACCGGCTCGGCCGCCTCCAGCAGCACGTGTCCAGCCACCGTCTCGCCGCTGGAGTAGCTGCCCTTGTGCTGGTCCTCGAACACCAGCCCCAGGTTCTTCACTCGGCCCTCGAAGCCCACGGCCGCCGCGGACCCAGCCTCGCCGCCCATCCCGCCGGGCGTCGCGGCCGCGCCCGTGAGGTCGGCAGCGGCCCGGAGCCGGGGTCCGGGGCAGAGCGGTGCCGCTGTCACGGGCTCACGGGCACCCGCCACACGCCAGGGTACTCTTCGGCCGCTGTGCGGTACCCTGTGGAGCCCTAACGCGCCGTAGCGGCCTGTCGCTTTAACAAACCCAGCTGGGACAGCAGAGGGGCCGGTACAGTCCACCCCCGGCGCGCGCCCATAGGCCGGCTGCGAGCCCTACGTGCTGCCGATTGGTTGTAAATGGCTACTGAGTCATTTCATTGGTGCCTCCACGCAAGGGATGGCGCAGGTAGGCAGTGCGTGATCAGGCAGTGGTGACCAATCGGGACACAGAGGAGTACACGTGCACAGTCCGCTTACTGGCTGGGGCAACGCACAGTTTTGGGGCACTCACCAATAGTGAGTCTGTGCGCCCATGTGGACAGATAATGGGAAATAATATTTGTTAGGGAGAGGGCGGAACCGGTAATTTCCAGCTCGCAGAGTGTCACCCGTTCCTATAGTTACGAGCGGGGGCGGAGTTTCTGGCAGAATGGGGACTGCAGGAGGCACTGGGTTAGCACTAGAAAATGAGGTTGTGGCTTTAACTGACTTGGCGTTTGTCATTGCAACTGCAGTACACGAGAGGAAATAGACACCCTGGAAAATGGAAATCAGCATTATTTGGGGGCTGGCTGCCTGGGAATTTTAATGGCCAATTTGGCGTTTACTAACTTCCAGGTTACCGAGCCCCGCCTCCCCCGGGTCCCAGAGGTCACAGCCTGAGAAACAGCTGAAGGCAGGATGAAGTAAGGCTACGTGGTTGTCAACCTGGTACGTCCCCTAAGGCGTTCAGGTCCTGGGCTCACAATCCTTTCTCAGCCTGGAATGGCTGGAACGGTAATTCTTCCTGCTCTAAATAAGGTCATGAATCAGGTTGTTTCTAAACACGTTACCAAGTTTCTGCTCCACCCCAAAGCATTTCTTGACCTGGGTATCGTAATCCTGGGTATCAATTTCCAGTTACCTCCGTGACTTGTTCTCCACGCCCACAGCTCCTTTCGCCCGTCTGGTATTCGTTTTATTCTTTAGTCGTCCATTCCTTCTCTACGTTAAACTTTTTACCATCTAACATAGCTACCATTATCTGACCATTGTTTCGTAACCCTTTTAAGTTCTTCCCTTACAAAATTTCCAAGTTTGTGCGCTGCAATCATGGATTGACTGATCTTATTTTGAGATTGAAAGTCTTTGCTGATGTAGTTGTTTCTTTTCTAAGAATCCCAAACTAAAGGTTGCTGTACTACTCTCTCAGAGTTTAGATTATTAATATGGGACTTTAATAAGGCTTTACAAGTTCAGTTTTCCCTTATCACCTGTCAGAGGAAGTGGATGACAATCTCTGCCTAAAGTTCAGAAATAGCTGTTATTCTCTAACCACTTTGTCTAGATAACCCCTAATGTGTTCTTTCTCTGCCATTATTCTTTATTGTCCGTTACCCGTGCTTGAAACAGAATTTGTTCTCATCATTGTTGCATCTCTAATACCTAATAGAGTTCCACACACAATAAGAACAAAATAAATGTTTGTTGACTGACTTAATGAATCCAAATCCATACAGTATTATTGGTTCTGAAATAAATGGATAGTACTCTGCCTCTTACTCTGCTACACCTTCATCCTCTCTAGGCAGATGTCCTTCTCCATCCCTCCCCCCTTCAAATGATGTAGTTGGGAGAAGCAGAAAGGGCAGTGGGCCCTAAGGGTGCCCAAAAGGCAGAACAGCACATATGGCCTTTTGTGTGGAGAAAGACCAGATTCACTTTGCTCATTTGTCATCTAATACTTTGACACAGATAGCAGAATGCCTGACCAAACAGGGGCTTAAACCATACTTCCTGTTTACTTAACAAGAAGTCCAGTAGTGGGCCAGGGTTAGTCCATCAGATTCCTTGTGTCTTTCTCCGCTGCCATACTCACCTTTCTTCCTGGTGGCAAGGATCAGCTCTAAGTATCGCAAAGCAGAATTCAAAAAATAGAGCAAGGGAGTCTACAGCCACCAAAGCAGGTGGAACTATTGTTTTCTTCCCCTCGTCTCACCTGTCAGAAAGAAAACATATTTCCTAGATTCCCCTAACAGACTTACATGTTGTTGACCAAAACTCAGACATTGGCAAAAAGAATTGACCTCTTTACAATTTTCTCAGACTAGTGATTTTTTTCTCTGACTGCTGAACAAAGTCCCAGCTCTGCTAACATGGGAGAGGGACAAATAGCTATTGATTGGTCAACCTAGAGCCATTTAGCTTAATTAAATGGGTCCGGATATTTTGCTATAGAGCAGAGCTGCCTCAAACCTTTAAAAAGGAGGATATTTAAACAAACAAAAATTACTCTACAACTAGACCAAAGGTAGTTTATGTGGTGGCCTACCTCAATCACAGATAAAACCCCCATTTTTGTTGTGCATGCATTATTTATGACTATTCAAGTTCAGCTACCATTAATATAGCAACATTTAGCAGTTTTGTTTTTAAAAGAAGTCCAATCTGACAGTCCCTGTCTTTTAAATGGAATATTTGGACTATTTATATACAATGTAATCACTGATGTGGTCAGTTTTAGATGTGTCATTTTACTATTTTATTGGCTTGTGCCTGTGTGTGTTATGTGGGTGTGTATATATGTGTCTGCTTTCCTGCCTTCTTTTCAACTAGATGAATATATTTTACTAATCCATTTAAATTTACCAATCTTTGGCTTATATCACTTTGTAGTATTTTTTTTAAAGCAATTGCTTTAGGAGTTACTATACCCCTTTGTGTCATAGTTGGCAGGTGTATTACATCCTCAAATATTGACAGCCCCACCACACCATTTACATTCTTGTATCAGACAGTTGTATACATTTTAAAGACTGCAAGAGAAAAATAGTCTCTCATAATTACTCAGCTATTTACCATTTCTGTTGCTCTCTCTTTATTCTGAAGTTCTGTTTCCTCAGGGAACATTTCATTTTGAAGAATTTCATTTAGCATTTCTTTTAGAGAAGTCCTGCTAGCAATGAATTCTCTTACTCTTCTTCTGGGAATATTTTTATCTTGACATCATTACTGAAAGATATATGTGCTGGATATAGAATTCTGGGTTGGTAGTTCTTTAAGCACTTTTTTCAGATTTTAAGATTTCAGATTTCAGAATAAAAAGTTCTCCTTGGAGAACTTTGGTTTTTAATGAGAAACTAAGCAGTCCTTTAAATTGTTATTCTCATATATATAATGGGTCATTTTTTTCTATCTGCCTTTACGATTTTTTTCTATCCTTCATTTTCAGCAATTTCAGTATAATGTGGACGTGTTCATTTTTCTTTGAGTTTGTTTTGTTTGGGGTTCCTACTGCTGTATAGTTATGTTTTCTACCAAATTTATGTTTTCTGCCATTATGTCTTTAATTTTTTTTCTCCACTAATTTGTATTTTCCCACATTTTGGGACTTAAATATTATAAATGTTAGATCTTTTTGATATTGTTCCACAGAAACTTGAGGCTGTGATTTCTTAAAAATATTTTTCTCTTTGTTGTAGAAATTGTTCTGTTTGCAAAGTCACTGACTTTCCTGTCACCTTCATTGTATCATTGAGATCATCCAGTGAATTTTTTTTTATTTCAGATATTGCTTTTTTCAATTATAAAATAATCATTAAAAATACTTTCCATTTCCTTAGTAAGAACATTTATATGTCCATTCATTTCAAGAGTATCTGTCTTTATCTTGATGAGCATGACTATAATAGTTAAAAGATCTTTGCAAATTATTTGACATGTAGGTAGTCTTGAGCTTGACATTTGCTTGTCTTTTCCCTTGAGAATTAGTCACATTTTCCTGAGGGTTTTTTTTTTGTATGTTTAGTAATTTTAGATTATATCCTAGACATGTCGAATATTATAAGACTCTGTGTCCTATTAAAGTCTTCTAGAGAATGTCAGCTATTCTATTTTAACAGCAGTGAGCCTGGATATGTTTATATTATTCTGAGCTCATCTTCTGTGGGCAGCAGTTCCAATGCCAATTTCATACCAGAGTCTTTGTTCTACTTCTATGGGTCTTTCCCTGATGCAAGAAGCTCAGTATTAGCCTGGAACTTGTGTCAGTTTACACACAGAATTAGAAGATACCTTTTTCCATTTATTTCCTCTCTATTATTTCCTCCAATCCCTATGCTTTCTAGGGCCCCTTTCTGCAATCCTCTGGATAGAAATTTGGTGTTGCTCTAGGAGTTTTAGCCACACGTGCTGTTGAGTAGTTTCATGTGATTGGTATTTCTCTCATGGCAAGCAGTAAGGAAAAGAGTGGCAAAAATGGGGATTCCTCCACACCCCAGATCCCAGGGTTCTCTTTTTCCCATTTCCTAAGGGCAGAAAGATAACATTTTCTTATTTAGTTCTAGATTCCTTTGCCACCATGACCACCTCAGTGCAGCTCCAGGACCAGAGCCACCTTTAGGGCAAGGCCAAGAAGAAAAAGGGAAAGAAAAGGAAAAAAACACAAACTTTATGAATTCATACTCAAAAAAGTAAATGATCACATAAATAAATAAATGGAGGAGAAGAGACTATTCTTCCTTATAGAAATCCTATGGGGGAAAAGGCAACTGAGGAATTCCCCAAAACTGATGTAGATTCTCTTCTCTTTCCCCTTGAGTGTGGGTTAGGCTTAGTTTGTCTAACCCAGAAAACACTATTTTAGCCAGGTTAATATCACCCATGATAAGTTCTGTTGATAGCATGGTGCTCCTGATAGGATATCATGAAAAGGGCACCTCACCTCTTTGACATTCTTTCCCTAAACCCATAATTCCAGTCCACATGAGCGAAGCATCAGGCAAACCCGATTTGAAGGACATTCTACAAAACACCTGATGAATATTTCTCAGAACTATCAAGGCCATGGAAACAAGGAAAGACGGAGCAACTCAGAAAAGAGGAGACTGACAAAGAGACATGATGACTAAATGCAATATGGTATCCTGGTTGGGATCCAGGGGCAGAAAAAAGACATCAGTGGAAAAACCAGTACATTCAAATAAAGTCTGGAATTTAGTAATAGTGATGTACCAATATTGGTTTCTTAGTTTTTAAAAATGGATCATGGTGCTCTAAGATGCTAACAGTCAGGGAACC